AAGCATGGTATTTAAGCAGCTAGGTTTACTGTTTCATTGTTCTCTGGCCATTTTCTCATGCAGCATTAGCTTCAGGCTTTTCGACCTCTTGAACTTGAAGATGGGGTACGACTACAAAGAGTGCCAGTTTATGTTCGATGCAGTGCATGACGTAGAAGGAGAAGATGGACGTTATCCAGACTAGACAGAAGAAGTGGAACTTAAAATGGAGGCATGTTTGGAGATGTGTTGTTATAATAATTAGTTTAGAGTTTTCTTTTATGTTCTTTGCTGTTATGGTTTTCTTATATTTAGGATATATTTAATAAAATCTTTAAGACATCAAGAAGCATTAATTTTTTGTTTTCCATGATTGAATTTTTTGCCAGGAGGCATGAGTAATCTTTCAAATCTGTGTCTCATATTGCCTCAAAATTTTTTTTATCGCATGCCTGAGATTGGGATATGATTGTCTATTGAAAAATTGTGTGTGCTTTATGTCAAAAATGAGCTAAAAATCATAGGAAATAAACAAATGAATGCAAGCAACTCCAAATTCTCATTTAAATCTTTTATGGTGGTAATGATCCAGATTTGATCATGTTTTCAGTTCTATTTTCTTTCTACAGCAAATCATAGCTGTAGAAAAATTTTTTCTTGTGCATATAAGTGGATGTTATGCTTTCTTTCTTTTATAGAGATTCAGAGGAAGATGCCTGTATGATTTAGCTTAAGATTTATTATACCAGGAAAACAAGCTCAGGTCTACGTGGTTAATAATTGCTTTTAAGTTTGTAAATAAGCCTTTCACCAATGACATTAAAAGTTTGATGATTTTATGTAAAAGATTGAATTTTACAAATGCACTGTTGATCAACTCTGCTTTGTGAAGTCAATAAAAAGAAATGTATCAATTTAGATGTCATCGTTTTACATAATTAACAATGGAATTTAATAGTATATCTGGATGTCATTGTTCCTATCCGTGCTGTAATTTAGATACAATTTAGATGTTACTCTATCTGTAATTTAGATGTCTTGCTTGTAACAATGTAATTTTAAAATATACCATTAAAATTCTCATAAAGTTATTTAGATGCTAGCTGATACAGTCCCTTAAAATCTAGAAATGATCGTTGTCGACAAGCTAGAAATGCCCACAATTA